ATGTTTCTTTGGCCACTTGATTTCTTCAGCTGACTCTCCTCTCTCTGCCTTACACCTACCTGTTTTTCAGGCTACCTCTTCCTGGAAACGTTCATTCACTCCCATGGTTTCAGTAACTCTCAAATCTCTATCTCTGGTTTCCGTTTCTTCTGAGTTGCAGGTATGTTTCTCTCAACTATGTGGTGAACTTAATGATTCCACAGATAAACTCAATAGGTCCAGACACAAATTCATCTTACCTCTTTTTTTTTTTTTTTTTTTTTGAGACAGAGTCTCGCTTTGTTGCCCAGGCTAGAGTGAGTGCCATGGCGTCAGCCTGGCTCATAGCAACCTCAATCTCCTGGGCTCAGCGATCCTACTGCCTCAGCCTCCCGAGTAGCTGGGACTACAGGCATGCGCCACCATGCTCGGCTAATTTTTTGTATATATATTTTTAGTTGGTCAATTAATTTATTTCTATTTTTGGTAGAGACGGGGTCTCGCTCAGGCTGGTTTCAAACTCCTGACCTTGAGCAATCCGCCCGCCTCGGCCTCCCAAAGTGTTAGGATTACAGGCGTGAGCCACCACGCCGGGCCATCTTTCCTCTTTTTAAGACCTCTTCATTCTGTCTTGGTGAATGACATTATTTGTCCAAGCCAGAAAGCAGTGTCGTCTTTAATTCTTCTGTCTGCCTCACATGTGAACACTCACCAAGTGCTGCCCATTCTCTCTGCCAAGTATCTCTGGACTCGTTCTCATTTGCCAGTGCAGCTAACATAGTCCATGCCAGTGTTGTTGGGGCCACCTGTAAATGACTTCTGTCTGGTCTCCTGTTTTGTCCTCTTCCCTGTCCAGATCCATTTTCCATACTGCATCTAGAGTGATCTTTCAAAAACAGATTTAGTCCTTGTTCCCCATATATGGCTCCCTTTATCTATAGGATGAAATCTAAATTTCTGCCTTATATTTCAAGGCTTCATGAAACCAGTCCCTCAGTAGCTCTCAGGCTTTACCTCTCTCCCACAACTCCCTATCCCTCACTCCTGCATGCCCTTTTTTGCAGTTATACTGGAGAATGTTATTTTTCTCTTCTAAGCCTTTATATTTGATTTTTTCCTTTGCTTAACTTAAATAGAGTATTTCTCACTATCTCTACTTACTGTTTGCAAAACCAGGTTTTTACATCCTGCCGATTTTGTTCTTAATTGGTCATTTCCTCTCCCTTTTCTTATAACCTGGCCTAGATTCTCTTGGTACAGTCACTCTGTACTTCAGTAGCATCATACATAATACATTTCCTACTTCGTGACAGTTCTTGCACTTTTATGTCTGAAGATATATGAGAATATAGCTGGATTCTCACATCTGCTTTTATATTCAATCTGTCCTATAGCCCTCAGAAGATTCCATTGTGCCCTTGTAAGAGGATAAATGTGAACAAAACAAATAAGGTCTTTGTATTATTAGGGAAATAGTTTTGACCTTGTGCGTCTGTTCCTGAAAAGGTCTTGGGAACCCTTGGGTGTCCTAGGACTGCACTTTGAAAACCACTGCTTATTTGTCTCCTTCCCTCTGACTAGGTGCTTTGAGAGTAGGGCCCAGACCTACCTTGCTCACTGCTGCATTCCTAGGGACTGGAGCCTTGCTCTCCATGTAAAAGGGTCTCAGATATCTATTGATTGATTCACTTATTCAATTACTTAGTTGGTTCAGTTCCCAAGAAATAGACATCAGGCACTGGAGACTTTCGCTGTGTATGTACAAAAGAATTGCAGTATATAGGCATTTCTTGTACCCCAGTTTCACTGGGGCATTTGAGTGTAATATTTTGCACATAATGTCACAAGAGTATAATTCTCATTTGGGCTTAGTTAATGTTGAGGTGAAAAGAAACTTAAATTAGTTTTTGCAGCTGATTTTTTTTTTTTTTTTTTTTTTTTTTTTTTGAGACAGAGTCTCGCTTTGTTGCCCAGGCTAGAGTGAGTGCCGTGGCGTCAGCCTAGCTCACAGCAACCTCAAACTCCTGGGCTCGAGTGATCCTTCTGCCTCAGCCTCCCGGGTAGCTGGGACTACAGGCATGCGCCACCATGCCCGGCTAATTTTTTATATATATATCAGTTGGCCAATTAATTTCTTTCTATTTATAGTAGAGACGGGGTCTCGCTCTTGCTCAGGCTGGTTTTGAACTCCTGACCTTGAGCAATCCGCCCGCCTCGGCCTCCCAAGAGCTAGGATTACAGGCGTGAGCCACAGCGCCCGGCCCTAATTTTTTTTTTTTTTTTTTTTAAGACTAGTCAAGTGCAGTAGTGAGGAGGGGGGAAAGTAGTAGAACAAGGAGTTCAATCTGTAACTGACTGTGAACAGTCACGTGAGATAACTCAATACCTTCGGACCAGCCTGCAGTTGATTTTTAAAATGAAGATGTATGTATATGGGATGATGTGAATAAATTTAAACTAAGCTATGAAAACACTGTCTTACGTTTGGAAAGTCTAGTCTTCTCTGTTATTTCTGCGTGACTACATAGAAGGGGTGAAAATGCCTTGTCCCTCTTTATTTGTTGTCAAGGAAGTAGGTTAGGAAAAACCCACAGGAAATATTTATTTGGAAAAGGTTGTTTAGGTAACAAATAGGAGATTCTAGTCTATCTTAAATGCTTGCCAGAAAAACTGACCACTTACTCAATTCAGTGTGGACTTGAAAAGTACATTTAAAGTGGCAGTGAAGGAGGAAAAAAAGAAACAGCATGAAACATAGCTTACTAATTATGTGTTGTCTGGTTTCCATGAAAGCCTTAATTAGAAAGAAAAGGAAAAGATGTGCTTTTTATTACAACTGTAAGTTCAGCATTTATGGCATGTCATTATAGCAGATCACCACACTATCTGACCCACCCTTGAAAATCATGAAGTGCAAATACGCTAATTATAGCCCTACTAAAATTTGGGTTCTTAACTTCAGGCTTCATCTTAACCTGCTTTAGAGCATTTATACCTTTTGCCATGATAATAGATGTGGGACTTGAAACAACTAGGATATTTTGTTTTGTTTTTCAAGCAAAACAGACTTTGAACTTCAGACATAAATTTCCTATATTGTAAATGAGTGGCTTATTTATATGGCCTATATAGGGCATCTAATACAGTGCCATGTATTTGGTGTATTTTGGTGACATTTTGAATGAAGGCAAATGAGAAAATGGCTCTGGCACCAAGTGTTTACTAAATAGCTCTTTTATGGGACAGAGTGTTTGCTAGTGAAGTAAGTTACTCGTGTCAGTATGGCCACACTGCAGCTTGACACCACTTCCTGTGTTAGAGAATGGATTGTGCTGTGATTTTAATGTGCCCTGTAAAGAAAGGGTTATTAGATGATAAAACTTTTACATTGTCTTTGTGAGGTTCTGGTGGGTTAGCAGGCTTCCCTTTTACCAAGGAAGAGGTCTTTGTTATCTTTGTTTCTATTTGTAGAACATTTATTCCTCTGTATGAAGGACCAGGATAAGCCTGTTTATTTGTATACAGTTGACCCTTGAACAACTTGGGGGTAAGGGGAACAACTAATCACCTTGTGCAGTAAAAAGTCCATGTATAAATTTATTTATTTGTTTGTTTATTTATTTATTTATAGACAGAGTCTCACTTTGTTGCCTAGGCTAGAGGGAGTGCCGTGGTGTGAGCCTAGCTCACAGCAACCTCAATCTCCTGGGCTCAAGCAATCCTACTGCCTCAGCCTCCCGAGTAGCTGGGACTACAGGCATGCGCCATCATGCCCGGCTAATTTTTTCTATATATATTAGTTGGCCAATTAATTTCTTTTTATTTATAGTAGAGACAGGGTCTCGCTCTTGCTCAGGCTGGTTTCAAACTCCTGACCTCGAGCAATCCACCCACCTTGGCCTCCCAGAGTGCTAGGATTATAGGCGTGAGCCACCACGCCTGGCCCATGTATAACTTTTGACTCCTCCAAAAGGTAACTATTAAAAGCCTACTGTTGACCGGAAGCCTTACCAATTGCATAAAGAGACTGTTGACATATTTTGTATGTATATGTATTCTTACAATATTTTGTATGTATAATATATTCTTATAATAAAGTAAGCTAGAGAAAAGAAAATCATAAGGAAGAAAAAATACATTTACAATACTGTACTGTGTTTATCAATATTGTAAGTTTATGTCATCTGTATATAAGGTGAATCATCTGTCTGAAATGACAGGCAACTGTAGCTACAGACCTCAATCTACAGTGCCTATCAAGCAATTCAACTTTTTCTTGTAATGTCATGACTGTTCTCTGCTTCTTGGGAGTACTTCCAGCATCACTAGTGGCACTTTGTGTGGGTCCCATGGTGTTACTCAAGGTTTACACGAAACATGAACTGCTCACAGGATGATTGGCGTCATGTGGCATTCTAAGTGGATACTCAGAACTCCTGAGCTCACCACAATAGCAACAGGAGGTAGCTATGAAATTATTACAGTAGTACAGTATGTACTACAGTTAATTTTATGCAATTATGATTTAATACAGCATCTTTATGTTTGTTTACATTTCTCTCGACTTCTAATGGTGCCATATGTGGTCTGTAAGTGTGTGCATTTGTTTTGATAAATTTTAACTTTTTACAATAGATTCATACATATTTTATAGTAGTAAATGATAAAATAGACTACTATCACATATTTTATGCATTCATGCCATACCTAACTTTTTTATTAATATATTTTTTAATATTTCTAGGCTATGTGATTTGTCTGCAAGTTTTTTCATATTGTTGCAAATCTTCAAAAAATGTTCCAGTATATCTGTAGGAAAAAATCCACGTGTCAGTGGACCAGGGAGTTTAAATTCATGTTGTTCAAGGGTCAACTGTATTTTATACATATGATTCAACTGTTACTTGCTTATTAACAGAGTGACAGTGTAAACTCATTTCTTTATGAGTATTTAAATTTTACATGCCAGAGACCTTGACATATTATGGGATGAAATATTTTACTCCCTTTCTTCCTTCTAGCACAGTTTTCTGAAATTTTTTGGTCATTGCAACGATCTTGATCGGAAGATGAGAAAATGCTTGAAAAAAGAGGTAAGAATATTGTTAAAGGATGGAAATGGTTGCACAATGAAACAGAACATTTTTGAATATTACATACTTCTGCCATTATTGAATTTTTCTCCAGATTTTAATATCACAGAGAAAATTCGCATGTATGATCTCCCTTCTAAAACCAAGAGGAGAAATGAAAGCCTCTTTTGGTTACAGTGTTAGAACATTTCTCTTTTTTTGCCATGCACACAGATGATGATAACAACTTCCGTATTATAGTCACCATTACTCATCTGGATGAATTTTAAGGTTTGGGAAACTGAATGTCTGGTCAGCAGAAAAACTTATGTCAATCAGATATTTGCTGATTAGCAGGTAACTAAAACTCTCTGGGCCTCAATTTCCATATATAAATTGAGGAGGCTGGACTTAGGCTCTTTCCAGCTTTAACATTTTGAATTTCTTTATAGTTATGCTTTGTACAAGCCATGGGGAGCTAATTTGACTTGTTTGGGAATATTGTCATATCCTGAACCTGGTTTTAGAACCAGTGGGACTTGGGCAAATAACCAAAGTACAAAGTGCATTGTCATTTTCCAGGTACTCCATGTTCTAGAGTAGTGTTTTTGTTTTTTTCTCCCCAATACTTTTATGAGGAAACTTAACGTATGACACAGAAAAGGAATGACTTTGAAGGGACCCGGTACTTCGTCTATAATTTGCAGTAGCTTTTTGATGAGGAAGGAAAAAAAAGTTTGAAAATTACCATTTCAGAAGTTATGTTAGAGTCCTTCAGTTAAAACCTTTAACCTAGAAAACTTCTTAAAGATTGTCTAGCCCTGACTTACATGTGAGGTTATTGGAACAGGAATAAAGTTAAGTAACTCAAAGTCACAAATCTCCACACTACTTTCTCAAGGGGTGCTAGAAGGGGTTCTAGCCATGTCCCTGGTTAGCTCTCTGTCACTAAGCATTCATTTCTGTGGCCTGTCTTTCCATGTCTATGGCTCCTAAAAGATTTTGATGTTCAACTGTTCACATATACTCAGTTTTTTCAGTTTGGATTTACTTTTACTGTTTTGCCCCTCTCTTCAGGGGAAAAATATTCATTCACCTTTAAAATATATTTGCATTGGTCTATATATTATAAACATGTGAATATATACATATAGAAACACTAATAGTTGAGTTTCTCTGCTTTAAATCTAAGGTAACCATTTGAGAAAATCTAAGTGCTTTTTACATGCCAGGCTCTATGTTTCCTGTTATTTGTAACCTGCTGGCTAGATCAGAATACTAGGCTGAAAATCTCCTGGGTGAAAACTACATGTAGATGCAACTGATTATAGAAACAGGATTTGAAAAGAATGAGCTTTGATGACTGTTTATAATGAAAAAGTCCTAGGAAGAATAGCTGACTATATGTTTCCATATGAGTTAATAGGATAATACGGTTGCTAAGAGCCAGTTACTCTTTTGATAATTTCCATAGGAATATAATGTGATGAAGTCGTAAGATCTACGCCCACTGTAGTCCATGTCTATCACTATGACTAGAACAATATATTCAATCATGGTTGTGATTTTGTTTTTAAATCAAGGCCATGAATGTTAAAATGCTTTATGAAATAAAAGTCATTTTGTAGGTAAGATATTAGAAGACAGAAGCCATGTTCTGTGGAATATAGAAACCAGCAATGTTCAGCCTGAAGAAGAGGTAATGAGTGGTTATCTGTAATTGGATGTTTGAAAATTATAGCAGGCAAGAAGAAATAGAAGGCAGTAGGAGAGTTTACAGGGAGACACTTTTTGGTCCAACATTAAAACTTTGGAACAAGTAGAACTGTCCAACAGTTAAACAGGTTACCTGCAGGTAGTGAGCCCCTTCTAACTAGAAGTGTTCAGCAGAAGGTAGAGGACTTGCTACACTATGAGCCTCTAGAGGACAGGGACAGAACTCATCCATCTTAAATACTTACTGAATTCATATTTTGGGAGGAAATTGATGCAGCAAATATTTTTGGGCCTATTAGGATGTAGGTACTATACTGTATTGAGTGAAATTGTACTAGATGTCCTCAAAGGTCACTGTTTCAGATCTCAGAGTCAGTGACATAAAAGGTAAACAAGAATTTTGTCAGTAAAAACATTTTTATTTTGCAAATATTTCTAACTATTTAACTGTAAATGGTGATGTAATCTGCTGTTTCTTCTCTCCCCCTTCTTCCTTTTATTTTCTAGTACATGGAAAAGAGGACCAAGAGCAGGGAGCTTGGGGAAGCGATGCGAAAGAGACTTGTTAATCCTCCAGAGGAATCTGAAAAATAAATTATATTTCCATTGAATACCTTGGCTGAGAGAAGACTCTTGGTTGATAGCTGAAAGAATCCTATCTTATTTGATTTCCAGAATCCTTTGAATGGAAAGTGACCCATGAGAAATTGGACCATGGAGAAATATGAAAACCCTGGATTCTGAATATCTGTTGGGAAGAGCTTTTAGTACCATCCCTCCTCTACCAGCAAACCTGACTTCTACCGTGTTTCTTCCCTTTGTTTACAACCAGTTAACATCTGAGTAACTTATCTTCCTCAATAAAATAATTTATTTAGATAATTTTTTCCACTTTCTCTTAGACTCTTTTGGAATTAGGACAAAATGGTGTCATTTGGCTTACCTTTTTGATGTGATGGTTCTAAAGCTTAAACATTGAAAACATAAGCTAGGGCAAAAAGATTTCTGGGGAAATCCCAGGAGTATTAATTAACTATATGAAATTGTTCCAATGTTACTGTTTTTAAGGAATGATTTTCTAAAAGATTAAATATTTAATACTGATAAAATTACATTTGGTTGGGATTTAGGTTGTAGCAGACTTTGCTTCCCCATTTGGTTGAATGTGCACACTCTAGGTCCCAGTTAACTCCTGGGCATTAACCTTGAGCTAGTGTCTCCCCTCTGCTGGGTACAGGACTCTTCTTCCCATGCTCAATTCTAGCAGTCATCGTGCCAGTGTTCCTTCTGCCAGGTGTTTCTGAGGCCTGTGACAATCTGCAAGTCAGCAACTTGCAGCTACAGCCACAGCAGGAGTTTGATCGTTTTGTCAGGTAGGTGTCAAGGAACAGACTGAGCTGTAGCTCCTTCCAAGTGGAATTCTGTTATATAATGTCCACCATGAGGCCTTGTTGGTGTCAGTGTTTAGTAAGTGGATTTCCCCATCTCAGGAGGTGTTCAAGAATCTGGACGTTTACACTTACTTAGCAAGGCAATTACAGAGGATAGCACATTCAATGAAGGGGTGGGGGAAGACCCAGAATTAATTCTCAGGTCCATCACAAGACAGATTGTATGAATATTTTAGTTCTCTGAGTGTCAGGCAGTACACTCAGGTACAAAAGTGAGATATTTTGCTATTAGAATCTTGTAGTAAACTGACAAGTTGCTTATTAGTCAACTCTAATCGTGAATTGCCGTGATTAGGTAGGTGACATGGAAAACATAGAAAGGGTGTCCATGCCCAGTCCTTAAGTGACCTTTGACAAACGAGTATAAATGGGATACATACTAGGGAACTTTAAGTCATTTGGCATGACTGGAGTATGGGAGCTGGTAGTGGAAGATCACAAACAGCTTTGAAATCTGTGGGAATAATATCTTCAATGCTGTGGTGGCCAGTTATAGATTTTCATACAGCCATTAGGGATTTAGGGAGAGGGGTTAGTTGGAGGGGTGCAATATTTCAATTAGTATTTTAGTAAGATTTTTCTGGTATAGTTTGGGGGATTAATTGGAAGGGAAGGAAGATTACACCCAGGGAGACCAATTAGAGTTTTGTCCTAACTTAAGTTAGAATTGAGGGCCTTAATTAAAGATGTGGCTTTGGGGATCAAGAGGAATGACTGGCTGGGTAAAGGATTTAAGGAAGTGTCTGGGATGTCTCGTGCGTTCAGTTTGTGCCTGCATTCTGATGGCACCCTTCCTTGAGGGTGAGGGAGCACTGGAGAGGGGCGGTGTTGGGGGAGGTCCAGATGGAGATGGCTCATGGGCTGCACTGGGAGTTCAGGTCTGGAGCTCGTTAGCATTGCCTAGACTAGAGCAGAAATGTGAGCTGTCAGCAGGCGGGTGGTAGCTAATGCCCTGTAGGCCAATGTTGATAGTTGACTGTGAGAGTTGTTTTATAGAGCAGAATGAAACTTTGGAGTTTACTTAATTTTTAAGAAATTGGGTAAGTGTTATGTGAGTACGTTTTTATGGGATATTCAAACAACTTTACAAGTTTTATAGAGTAAAAAGTTGGCATCGTCCTTCATACTCCAGTAACACTTGACTCCCCAGAAGTATCTACAGTTGACAGTTGCATAGGTCTTCTGTGTGTTTAAATTCAGGGACAGGAGGAGGAACCTCACATGTGGGAGAAGGAGCAGACACACAAGCAGAAGGTAGACCATAGAGGATGGTACTATATAGATTGTCAAGGCGGTTGGTTTTAGAGGAGGAAATGTCATTGGATCACAGGTGGTTCCCCTGCCATGTCTCAGGTTAGAGCCACCCCAGTGAGGGGAGAGTGGAAGCTGAAGTGGACCTAGAGGGCGTTTGCACATTTGAAAAAGCTTGTCTCTGTAGGGAAGGATGGTGTAAGCTCAAGAGGGTCTTCTTACAAAGTCAAAAGAAAAAGGTGGGTGGCACTTGGAAATGGGGGTATGTTGAAAATGCCAGAAAAGGAGGGATTAGTTTATGGAGTGATGTTGATGAGGTTTAGAGCCCATGCTAGCCACTATTTATTTTACTTAGAAAACAGATAAGAACTGGAAAACTTGAAGCATTGTGGAAAATGTAAAGTATTCCTTTTAGAGAGCAGTAATGTACAGGATGCAATGCTGTTTCTTCCATAAAGAATTAAGAGCACAGGCTCTGTTTCTGCTCTTTGATGACCAAAATCTCAGACAGACTAACATGGTCACCTGTAACCAGTGATATCTTGGTGAATGTTTCATAACTAGATTAGCTTTCAGAAAAAAAAAATACTATTTGTAGCATTTACCATTTTCCATGGTGTAAATACTGCCACCATGGCAAATTTCAAACCACCGACCTGACATTACTGAAGGTGGAGTTGGCAAGAGATGCCCATGGTGGGCTCTTCTGAGCTGGCATGAGCTGACTCCAGCCAACCACCACAGCCACTGCCCTGTGTAGGGAACCGCGGAGTGTCAAGTCAGGTGATTTCCTGCTGGCAGTCACCTTTCCCACCTCCAGCATGTTTGTCAGTCAGAAGTACCTGCACCCTGTGGTGTGCACTAGAGGGAGACTTGTGACTTCTGTGACAGCAGCCGAAGCTCCTGGAGCATATCATTTTGTAGAAGAGCAAATAACCACATACCAAGTGGATTTAGGAAAGAAATGGGACCTGCCTGTGCCATGATGGTTGGACTTGTGCCCCAGGAGCTCAGATGTCTTTTGCCTTCAACCCCATGCTTCTTAATTGCATGACCTTGATAGCCATCTCACAGACAGTTTGCATGGGCTGTCTTTCAGTTGTCACCTAGCTGTGTGACATCTGACAGGGTGCTTAGCCTCTGGATTTCAACTCTTTTATTTTTATTTATTTTTTTAGAGACAAGGTCTCACTATTTTTTCCAGGCTGGTCTTGAACTCTTGGCCTCAAGTGCTTCCACCTCCCAAAGTGCTAGGATTACAGGCATGAGATGCTGTGCCTGACTGAACTCTGATTTTTAAAATTAGATTGCTGGGCAATATAGCGAGACCCTGTCTCTACAAAAAAGAAAAAAAAAAAAAAAGGAAAAATTAAGTGTGGTGGCACATGCCTGTAGTCCCAGCTGCTCAGGTGGTTGGTTGAGGAGGATCGCTTGAACCCAGGAGTTTGAAGTTGCAGTGAGTTACGATGATGCCACTGCCCTTCAGCCTGGGTGACAGTGAGACCCAATCTCAAAAAAAAAAACAATGAAGAAATAAAATGAGGTTGCTGGACTAGTTGACTTGTTTACCACTGAATCCATAGATCCATAGCACTTTAGGCCTATGCCCTGAATAATCAGTAGGAAGTAATGTTCTTTTTCCATAAACCTATGACGTGAGAGCAATTTGGCCTGGGTGTTTTTGTTGCTTTGTGGTGTTTTCCATCCCATCTAGGCCACCGCTTCCTATCCTCACATCTCTTATGGCTGCTGGGAGCCACCTTTACTAACAGGAGTAGATCAGTATCCATTAGGAGTATTGTGGTTCAGTGGAGGGTCTCAACATCTTGTTCAGGACTATTCTTCCTTGTTTAGGTCGACCTCCATCCACGTAGACCTCTGCACTGCCAGGGAAGCCCCCTCCCACCCCAAGCCAATGCTGTTATATTCCAGCTATTCCTGCTGCTTGATCTACCTTTCTAGCTCCTCCTAGGGTGAGAGTTTGAGAAAGAAAATGTTACAGAGCTGGAGCACAGTGTGCAGGGGGGAGAGGGTGGAGGGAGCTGAGGAGAGAAGGACGTGCAGGCCTTGGAAACCACAGCAAGGAGCTTGGATGACCTGGAGGGTAGTGGGAAGCCATTAGAAGATTTTAAGTAGGGATTGGTTGTGATCTCATTTATCTCATTTGGTTGCTAGGGGAATTGTAGTTAAAGTAACTCACCCCAGTGACAGTACCAGTCATACACTGTGAAGATTCATTGAGATGTATTGCAGTAGCAAATTATCTGGCACAAAGTAAGGGCCCTCTCAATATTGTTATTCTAATAAGTACATCCAATTGGGGTACTGGTAATGCTTCCCCTGCACTTTAGTAGAATGCCCTAAATCACCTGGGCTCGTCCCATTTGGGCAGGGTCCCGGCTGATGGGGGAGAGGTCCAAGAGGTGAGGGACTTGGTATGAGGCAGGGGGAATACCATGCCCTCAGGACTCATCCCAGCCTGGCCCTATTCCCTGGCTTCCTGTACATCCCCCCTTTCTATGGAGGAAGCCAGTCCTAGGAGTGGCTGTATCTTTTCCCCTTGTCAGACCACCTCTGGTTCATTCTCATTTCCAGTCTGACCTCTCCCATCCTACAGGGGATCACAGTGAAATCTCAATACTTTCACTCTATGGGGCAGGCATACTTCTTCCTGAGGATTCCCAAATACTTAAAAAAAATTTCCCCTTGCAGTGGAGGCTAGAGAGAGATTGGGGTGGGGAGAGGCAGAGGCCCTATGTCGTCTTGCCTGTATCGAGCACCTGGTGCTGTGCTTGGATGTTGGCGATACAGTGATGAACAAGATGCCAGTGTAGGCTCATGTCAGGAAGGACCATCTTGGCTTGCTCTCTGAGGAAGTGGGGGACACTGTAAGGTCTGTGCAGGATGCAGAGTGAAGAAATGGGTTTACTGTGCCTATAGTCGACTGCCAGTGCCTTCGGGTCATAAGAGACCAACTCTTGAAGAGCTCAGGCCAAGGTTTTCCTGAGAAATCTAATTTTGCAGAACGCTGTAAGCTTTCGTGCTCTGGTCACAACAAATTTATTAATGCTTTATTGCAAGAAGCACAACACAATTTTACTTAAGAGTAAGGATAGAAAGTTGAGCTATTTCTGACCTTTAATAAATGGAGTTTAGAATCAGGTTAATCTC